GGATACTAGAATCCAATACTAGAACTCCAATAGAATCAATTTTGACTGCTGCTGCTGCTGCTGCTGTTGTTACCATCAACCAGCGTCGAAAGCAAGAAAGCAACAGCCAGACATCTTTTTCGAAACCCACTCGAAGCAGCAAAACACAACCTATATAATTTCGTGCCGAAAATTATGCAAAATCAGTTGCAATAACACGCTCCCCGGGGGCCGGAACGTCCCTTCTGAAATCCTATTAGAACTCGAAGAACTCCAATAGAATTTAAAACTCGACAAATTCCATGAGAATCCAATTTTGGCTGCTGCTGCTGATGCTGCTGCTGCTGCTGATGCTGCTGCTGATGCTGCTGCTAGTGGCTGCTAGTGGCTGCTAGTGGCTGCTAGTGGCTGCTAGTGGCTGCTAGTGGCTGCTGCGGCTGCTGCTTCTGCGGCTGCGGCTGCGGCTGCGGCTGCGGCGGCTGCTGCTGCTGCTGCTGCGGTGGCGGCTGCTGCTGCTGCTGCTGCCGCTGCCGCTGCCATCAACAATTCTTCTAAAGCAAGAAACCTGTGGCAGGAGTAGTAGTAGGAGACATCTTTGTCCCTGGCGCCATCCCCCTTGCTGCCGGCCGGGGTCGGCGGATTTTTTCAGCAATCCACAAAGAAGCAACAAAATGCTGGCCTTGCTTCTTGCTGCTGCTGCTGCTGCTTATGTTCCTGCACTGTGTTCAATGCCGCTTGCTGTTGATTATGTTCCTGCACTGTGTCCAATACCGCTGCGACTCCTAAAATCGAACCACTCCCAGCAGCAAATCCCCATGGCAGTGAAGGACGGAAAAGCTCCGAAATTGCACCTCAAAACTGCCTAACGTAACTTCTGAAGCCCATAGAAAAGGATGACCCTAGCTACTTTTTTCTCCTGCTGCCGCCCCCCAAAATCACAAAGTGCATGGCTTTGTGGCACATGCGCAACAGCAAAGCACCACCTAATTTCGTGCCCAAAACGTAGCAAAGCAGTAGCAGTAGCAGTGGCAGTGCAGTAGCTCTTCTTCCCTTACGCGCTCCCCCTTGCGTCAGCCGGGGTCGGCGGATAGTAGCTTCACAAAGTATCAGGTTTGCATGGGCCATCCGGCAGCTCTTGTCTCATGACGCGTAAACTTTTTGGCTCAGTGGAAGGTAGTGATTTAGGGATATTCAGTGTGCAAGTTTGAAGAGATCGCAGAAACACAAGACGGACGTGCCGTGGCTGCTTTTAGTGCCCTTTTGTTGGCGATTTCGGCTGCGTCCGTGTCCCTCGGAGGGGCAGTCCAGAGAGAACAAACAAGTTGAACAGTAATTCCTCTTTTGCCAAAAGGAGTTCATTCTCTGGGCATATGCAAAGAAAGGTGGAGAATATCCCAACAAATTAATAACACGTCCGCAATTGACACGGTTCAGCCTTGGCATGAAGAAAATGTATCATGTGCATCTTCCAAACACTTACTTGTGTTCCAGAGGCATCTTTATTGTGTCTATGTTATACATGTGTTTAGTGGTTTTTACTTGGGCCAGTCGTAAATGCCTTATATGCCACAGCCTTCGCGGGTGTCAGGTGACCTTGGTAGCTTCATGTCCGGATCAACCCCGACAGAACGGAACGGAAGCGAATCATCGTCAACAAGGTCAACCTCGACTTTGACAGGAGCAGGGTGTGGGAAAAGAAATTCACTGATTCAAGCAACCAGCATGTGACGTGGGACTAGGCCCTAGGCTCTCTTGTCCTCGTCTTTCAATGCTTTAAACTTGGAACCGTAAGGTTTCTTTCCAGAAGAGGTTGTCTTTGTCCCGGATTTTCATATCCTATGCGATGATTCTTCACTTGCGGGTGGCTTAGTTTGCCTTGTCAAATCAAATTGCTCGACCCGTCATCACATCACATCACATCACATCACATCCCATCCCATCCCATCACCTTACATCACATCACATCACATCACATCATCATCATCATCATTATCATCATCATCATCATCGTTCAAATCCAGCTTACTCTCTCTCTCTCTCTCACTCGGCGGCTTTAGCCCATGCGCTATTCTTTTCACTGTAGCTGCTCAAGGTGTAACTCACAGAATGCAAGGGCACTGTAAAGAGAGATGTCACGCACCATGGTATGTACGCAGGGCCCCGCAGTGGAACTGCCAAGTTCAGGCAGTTCAGGCTTCATTTCACAACTTGAACTTTCGAAATTTGGGGGACGTCTCGCACGAAAGCTTCGTTTTCACATCTTCAGCTTTCACTTTTTGAGGGAAGTCTCGCACGAAAGCTTCGTTTTCACATCTTCCAGTTTCAGTTTTGGACCGAAGTCTCGCACGAGAGAGCTTCGTTTTCACATCTTCACCTGTCAGATTTTGAGGGAAGTCTCACACGAAAGCTTCGTTTTCACATCTTCCATTTTCACTTTTTAAGGGAAGTCTCGCGCGACATGCGTTTTTGTAGCGGATGCACGACATGCTGTGTTTTGCAGGACAAAACGTGTCCTGGAAGATGGATGGGGAAGCTTTTCCGGCGGGCAGTTGCGGAAACCCCGCGCAAAACGTGCACCTAACTTCTGGGGCGCGTGATTTTTTCTGTAATTTCTCGCATAAAATGGCTGTTCTGACATGTCCATGTTGCATTTCGATTGTGCAGGCTTGCGCACAATGTGCAGCCAAACTCTGGGGCGCGACATTTCTTTTTTTAAATGAATTCTCGGATAAAATGGCTGTTCTGGCATGTCCATCTGAATTTCGACTGCACAGGCTCGCGCACAACGTGAGGCTAACCTCTGGGGCGTATAACCTTTTTCCTGTAAATTTCGAATAAAATGGCTCTTGTGAGATGCCCGTGTGCATTTCGACTGCACAGGCTCGTACAAATTGTGGGACGCGGTCTTGGGATCGTTCCTCCACATCATCACCCTCAACCTCATCACCTTACCCCTCCTCAACATCATCATCCTCCACCTCATCTTCCGCAACATCATCATCCTCCACCTCATCTTTCGCAAAATCATCATCCTGCACCTTATCTTCCGCAACATTACCATTGAACCCCCCTAATAGCCACAGTCTATATTCTTTCAAAAAACTAAAAAGGAAAAAGTATATACATACATACATACATACATACATACATACATACATACATACATATATATATATAGAATCACATATATATATATATGTCAAGTAATGTACATATATAATCATATAATATTATGTGATATTATACTATATTTAACCCACAAATGTAAAGTCACACCCTGCAAAAACAAAATGTAACTTTTCAGGTTTAATGTTTTTTACCAAAAAGAGGAAGAAAATAAATGTAATTTTTAGGTTTTGCTTGTTTTCCAGGGAAAAAAAGGGGAAAAATGTAACCTTTTGAATTTACATTTTTTTTTGAAAGAGCAGGGAGAAAAGCACATGTAACTTTTCGAATTTCCAAAGTGTAAAACAATTCTAAAAAATGCGACTGGCAAATCACAACTTTCAAAAAAACAAAAGCATATTAAAGATGCGACGGGCAAATTTATTGCAATTTTTGAAAATGTACAAAAATGTATATAAAAAAGCGACTCGGAAATCAAATTTTTGAACATGAAAAATGTAAAAACCAGAACAAAAGTAAAAAGATGTATCGCGGGGCCAAAAATATAAAAACCATGTAAACACAATAAAAATATAAAGGGCGCACAAAATTAAAAAAAATGCGCCTGGGAAATCGCATTTTTTTGGAAAATGCAAAAATGTAAAATGTAATTCGGTTTTCCGTTTTAATTCTGATTTTTTTGAATTGAAAAGTTTCATATTGAGATTTACATCTTTTATATTTTCTTCAGTTCACATGAAATTTTACACTTTCTGATTTGCACTTTTTGCAATTGTTTGAAACCCACACAACAAGTTACGTTTTCAGATTTTAGTTTTTCACGTTTTTCATCTTTTTATTTACTTTTCGGTTTGCAGACTCTAGCAGATTTAGGGCATTTCAGCATTACCATCCTTTTCATCATCCTCCTCAGCATTCTCATCCGCAAAGTCGTGTAAGTCTTTGCTGAGTGGCACCCAGAGGTCTGATTATGCTCTGCCTTTTGCTCTATCAGCCAAGAGTTCATTTGTAGCAACTGGTTGGTAAGTTTCTGCTATTTGTGGGGACTTGTGAGTTCTGTAGGCCTAGGTAGGCAGCAAGTTATTGTTTTCAATTCTCAGTAAACTGTGTTGCTGTTGTTGGTGGTGGGTGGGTGGTGGTAATTGTGGTGGTGGTGGTGGTGGTTTGTATCTGCGCATCGAGTGGAGAGGTGCAGCTGCTGCCCCTTTGCTGTGGTATGTTCTCCCTTCACGGCTGTGCCTTTGTATTGGGGCTCGCCCCGTCCTGTATCGCCCAGGGATCAGTGCTCCCGTACTACAATGTTCAAGTCAGACTGTACATTTTTCAGGCGGCTGTAGCCCACGGTGACACTGAAAATTGGCCTTTGAGCTGTTGAGTTGCACCTTGAACAGCTACAGTGAAGAGTATAGCGCGCCCCATGATATATACATAGTGAATACAAGCATTTTGCGCAGGGAACTGGACCTAACGTGTGCAATGCACAGGTGTAAATGCATAATCATCGTCGTTGTCATCGTCATCATCACCACCATCGTCATCACCATCAGCAGCACTATACTACCACCATCACCACCACAGTTACCATCACCATCATCATCGTTGTCAGTTTGAATCAAGCCCCGCCTTCCTCAGCGAGATGAAGAGACGACTGGCTCTGACTTAGGCGCATCCCACCTTTTTCAGTATCTCGCGGTCTCCACGGTAAAGCAAAGGATGTAAAACTTGGTTCGCGAACCTCTGCAAGTTTGGGCATGGGAGTTTGAATCATACAGTGCATGCCACCAATGGGTGTAATTTTTCTTCTGCGCAGGCCTTCAATTCGTTAGGCCTGGCTTCGTAGGGGTGCGCCGCATGTTTTTGTAATACTCTTCCTATGGAAACAATAGACCTTGCTGATGAACCTTGGAGGATGGGTTCTACATGTGAATGAATGTCTTCAGGATGCCTCCTCCGGCAAAGGATCGGTTCAGTCGGGACAATCTGAATCGGATGAGGAGAGGAAGGCTGTGGTCTTTGAAGGTTCAGCGGATTCAGTAAAGTCAGCTTCAGTTTCAAGAGCTGTGGAGACAACTGAACATTCAAGGGCAGCTCCGGCTGATCTTTCTCTTGACCCGTGCCTCTTCTATTCATACACAGACGGTTGTGCCAAGGGGAACGAATGTGAATATTCGCATTCAGTCCATGCAGATCAGGTCGCCGTGCCTGTTGCGAATCAGAAGCGTGGCCACGCACGGCATCGCATCAAGAAACGGCTGACCCAAGTTTTTGCCACGGAGAATCTCTACGAAGTGCAAGAACAGCTCCAGAGGGAAGCACGCCAAGACTCCTTCGCCAAAGGTTTTATCCGAAGTCATCTGACCGGGGCCGATTCGTCCACATCGGCCACACCGGCACCGACCCGTACATCCATGCTCCGAGCACTCTGATGGCTTCGACGGCTCTGATGAGAAAGTATCACTACTGACTCTCGTTAGAGCCTTGTCAGAGCAGACATCTGAAACATGCTTAGAATGTTGAGTTCCAATCCTGCCCAAATCCGTCAGAATCGGTGCCTGACAATAGCTTGTGGGTGTGTGTGCGTGCAACATGTGAACAGATGTAAAACTTCTACTGTTGACTCAGCTAATTCTTACAGGGGGGCAGTGCACGACTGACAGACACTGCCCAACGAAGACACTCTCAGCTCGTTTTAATTTGGAGTTTGATCAACTCCACGTACCTGCGAATCATCTTATTCATTTCACTGGGAATGGCAAGCGGCCAAGCCAAGAACCGCAAGCTTGGATTCTTTTTTTTTTACACGGTTGTTGCAATCTGAGATTTTCTTCGGCATCATTTCCAACTTTATTTACAAGGTATTTCTACGGACATGGCAAAGGGCTAAGCCGAGAACCCTAACTGGGCAATTATTTATTTTGGGGACTTTGTGGATCTGCTTCTGTTCGTTATTTTATGTATTTGGAACTTATGGCCAAGTTTCTGTTCATGATCTCAACTATTGGAACTTCATCATAAAGGTTGAATACAGCTACATGGAGATCTACCTTACATCACTCACCTGGTTTAATTGCATGTTTACGGGCTTCAGTTCCCAACGGATCACTCCAATGATCCAGTTCTGTTCTAGTGTGATTTCCATGGTGGCTCCTTCATGGTGCCATGGACCCAGTTGAGGGAACGAATTTGGAAGAGTGAGGACGAACGGACCTCTGAATTACACATTTTAATTTGGTAATTCGTCTACGTAAAGTGAAACAGTCGGCCATTCGATTCTGCACCATTTTTGCGATCCTGCTGTGCCTGCCATCCCTGGGATACCTCGGCACTTTCACCTTTGCTCCAGTGAAGCTGTACGGAACAGCCTGACACCGGTTTTTTATCACAGACAGGAACGTTGCCGGCATTACATACATGTTTCCAGCAAGGCTTCAGGTACATGGCTTTTACCTGCGGGTGTGGTCTACTTTGGTATTTGGTGTGGTTGAACCTGTCGTGCATCTAATTCATTTGAATTTGAACAGCCGTTTAATGCCCACTTCTGGGTTTGACCGGCTACCGTCCCTTCGAGGGAACAACGCACGACCCCATTTCTAGGAACTGAATCCCAAGTGTTTTTTTTGTGTCATACATCGCCTCCGATTTATTATGTGGCCGTAGAACTCGCCGACATCGTGGCCTACGCCCCCACCATCAAGCTGCTCGGCATCACCACCTTCGACATCCTCACCCTGGACCACACAACATGTCTCTTCACATCACTATACTCACCACTTCTTGGACAACCACCATCAATGACAGTACCACCGACTCCCACTACATCTTGCCCCAAAGCTCACCGGAACACGTCTTTGGACATCCCACAGATCTTCACGTACATGGGACCAGTCGACAGTCTACGCCAACGTTCCCACCTCAGCCGCCTTTTCCTTCACAACCTTCGCCACTGCGCATGACTATACACCGCAGACTACCTCTACCGCTCCACAAGCACCTAAACTTTGGACCCACTTTGCGACCAACAATCCATCGTCAACGGCACCTTCTTCTACGTGCCCACTCCCACATCAAGGGCTCCCAGCTGGCCCTCCTCAACCAGTTCAATCAAGTTTATACGCTGGACTTCCTCAAGACACTCCACCTCAATTTATGGCATCATCGACGCCGGCTACCTGCACATCCCAACACCCACCACCAGACACTCCACCCCCTACCGCCAAGAAATCCCCACCCACAAAACCCCCTCCATCTCGACGACCATTGACCAGGACATCCACATCAGGCTTTGAAGATCGCCTCCAACGCCAATTTGACTCGCAGATGGACCAATTTCAATCCAAGACCCAGAAGATGCTGGACAACATCAAGAAGACCTTTCAACAGCCTGTACTTCCCGCACAAGCTCGAACGTGGACAACAACTTGACCAACACCTCGCAATGACCCACAGCCGCTCCGCACATCGAAGGCACCCATCCAGGTCTCGTCCCAGTCAACTTCCTCCTCCACCGCCATGCAGGGCTGAACCCCACCGTCCACCTCATCGAAAACGATCACCTCTTGCCACATCTCCGCGCTCCAAGCCACGTCGCCGACAATCTCGACATCACTCCAAGACCAGATCCCGATCACCTGTATACGCTCTACAACCACTCGACGTCAACCTGTCCGCTCACCTCTTCCTCGACATCGTTCTGCGCCTCACCATCCCAAAGCCCGACGGACTCCTTCACCTGAACGTCGCCGAACGTCGCCGATCCCTTCGCCGAGATCGAACCCGACGCCATCGAGACCGAGATGAACATGGCCCTGTGAAACTCCGAAGCCGCTCCAGACAACGTCACCCTATCACCCTTCGACCTCGACAACCTGGCAAGTAGAGCCCTGCGTTATCTCCTGATACTCACCAACCAGACCAAGACCAAGCTGACTACGTGTCCACAAAGTCCGCGTCGCGAAGACCAAAAGAATCCCCGCCTCCATCGCTATCCCCCGGATCGGGTGGCACAAAGATTTTCCGGGGGCTCCACTGAAGACACTGACCAGGAAGGCGCTTATTCACCTATCCGTATTCCAGATTTTGCGAGATCAACTAGCTGGCTCGTTGACTACCAGGATGCAGACAAGGACTACTCAAATGCGCACAGGAGCTACCACCTGGATACAAATTGAACCTCAAAACAACCTTGACCGCCTCTGAAAACCGAACCTACGAAGAGTTCCTCGATGCCATGTACCAGCAATTAATTGTCTCAACCTTACCTCACGTCCACCAAGTCCAAAATCCATACCAAAGTTGGCAGAGAGATGATCGAAAACATCGCCAAATGCTTCGCATGTGGGGGTCGTCTTCAGGTACCTCTTGCAAAACCCGCCAAGGGATATTACATCGAGGCTCGCAACCTCCTGACCATCGTCACCCCTACCGGACTCCCGGAGAAACCACCATTCGACAACGACGACAGCAACAAATATGCTATTTTTCACCGAACTGATTGGGAAGTTGTCGCAAAAATATTGGTTGATGACGTCATCAGGCCCGTGGGCTGGAGTCGCAACGCTGACAACATCCCCAACCAGTATTCTTGCTTTGGCTTTTTTGGCTACTGCTCAGAACCTGCTACTTCCTCTACGTTAACTGAACGGGCTGTCAACATTTGCAACTACAGGACTCTACAAGATCGGCAAGGGCCAACTTCCAGCAGGTTTGATAGCAACCTGTCCTACACCAAAGCTCAACAAGCACATGGCAGGGGGCAATGATCAACTCCAACGAGCTTGTCGCTTGGGAGGAATAGCAAAAGGAAAAGACGGAGCCGTCGCCACAAATTCATCATGCGCTACGGTGGCGTTCGTTGCTGGTACTCACCAATAAGTTCCAACCTTTACGATCTCTGTCGCCAAGCCTTCTTCCAAACACTCATCACACGGCAAGGCCAAAGACGAGGGCTCCCGTCGACGATGACCCACCTGCTGACCTACCTGTATATTATATCGGTTCTTGGGATCTTTGCGCGCCTGTTTTGGACGAACGATGCTTCTCCCGTTTGGTGACGCCGCTGCTCCGAGCCTCTTCCGTGAACAGATTTATTCCGTTGCTGCCGCCTTCACTTGCCGATCAAACTTAGTGTCTTTTCCGTTGAGCTTACATGGCATGGGGCTAAGCCGAGAACTACACGTGGTGTTTGTTTCCGACCCACACCTGCCCGCTGAAGTTTTTGCACTCGTTTTTTCGATGCACCTCCTGTACTTAATTTTAATTCAGTCAGGCTGGGGCTAAGCCAAGTATACTCCCTTGCTGATGATTTATTTTGAAGCTCTACATGCTGATGCATTGGCTCTGTTCTTCGAGCTCGTCCCACACGATTTGCTCATGGCGTCTCAGGACCAGATCTCGCAGTTCTCTCAGTCAGTCGATTCCTCTTTCTCAGCTTGATCGCTCTTTATCACGAACCCCACGCCGTGATCACCTCGATTGGCCAGCTCCCTTGATCCCAATTGTCTGGGGCCCATTTCATCATGCGACCACCATGGCACAACCTATGTGGAACACACCAACTTCATGATCACCACATCTTCGACCTTGCGCACCTCCACCTCTACCTGCTCACCAGAACACCTTCCCACCACATCCCCCCTTGTTTCCCGCACCTCCACCTCCAGGATGTCCCAATACACCACATCGTTGCTCACTACTACACCAAAATCCCCTTCACGGCTTCTCTCCATCTCAGACTACCTCTCCGGTTGATCACGGATACACCATCCGCCCTTGTGAAGTTCCACCTGTGGACACTTGGAAACCGGATGTCGACTTTCATGACACGGGCAAATCAATGGCTTGGATTTCCCTATGGCGATCCGGTCGAGCAAGCACACAGTACAAAGACATTGAGGGCATGGTTGTACCAGGGCTTACACAACAACTGGATACGCCGAATCGCCCACGGTTGCGAAACCTACGTCATCCCGTTTGACAACATTTGCACTACAGTCTTCGTTGCTGAGCTCGTCAGCCAACTCCGATCTCGCAATATTGACCTCGACCGTCTCGCTGCTTATACAGATCCCGGAATCAGGGAACTTCCAGCAGAAAGAGGCAACCCAACGGATGGCCAAGGATATCGCCCAGCAGATCCGATCTTGGCTTCCATCCACTACGGTGGCCAATTCGACTAGCCAAGAGAATTTTGGAACTTGAGACTTGAGACTGAACTCGCCAAAGCCAGCCGCCCAAGGGGACACTTCCAGACCTCCAGATCCACCGGGCACTTCCAGCACACCAGGCATGGCTCCCATCCATCAAGCACTACAGGGACGCCCCACTGTGACTTCCACTTTTGAACCATCCTCCTCGTCCTCCCTGGCACTGTCAACACATGGCTCAAAGAAAGCCAGCCTGCTTCCCTCACCGACTCCAACTACAAGAAATGGCCCAAAGACTTCAAACTACTTCAACCAAACATGGATACGCTGGACAAGAACTTCCAAAAAGCCTTAGAACCGACCCGATGCAGCATCCAAGAAAATCCACCGAGTCAGCGCGCGTGGCGATGTGCCTGGAGCCGCACAAGTTGAAGAATTCCACCACGGACGAACTGGTCATTCGAGTGATGACGATGGCGTTGACATTGACTTCGTGACTAGCTTCGATCTGAGATCCACTTGTTTAACTGCCAAACATTTGTTGAAGGATCTCGAGATTGCGCACTCGTGTACCTTGAGTCTAGCTTTGCTGACTCCGTCTACACTCTGTCCGAGTATTCAACTTCTTTGTGGATGTCATATGATTCAAAGTCTCCTTATGGGTCAATATGTTCTTCTTCACCCCAATAATGGCAAATCCAAACTTCGGGGTCTTCTTCGTGGAACGTTTTGTCGCGGACTATTTTTGTGTGTTTCGTGGGATGACCCTCCTCCCTCTTCTTTCCTGTTTTCGCGCTGACCATGCTGTGTATGTTCGCTTTTCTAGCCCGAATTTTACATTGGGTCGACCTCGTCTTTTGTGCTGGATCGGGACCATTCCCGCTACAGAAAATTCCTGCAAATGCAACAAAATAAATTCGTTTTGGCCGAAGTTGCCTTACGATTTTGGAACAAATGTGACAACTTTTGGATGTGGTCCATCCTCCCGCTGTACACCGGCAAATCCAATTTTTGGGCTTTGAAACAAGCCTTAATTCAATTGTGGCAACCCCGTCTCAATACTCCGTTCATTTACCAATTTTTCAATTGCCGGAAGGGCATCATCACTAAAACTCCTTTTTCGACTTCGCTACAGTTCGGCACCTTTTGGTTGTGGTGGAAATTGCGATGGGCATCCGCACCGAACCGTATTCGACAAGCCCTCCACAGCCGTACTTTCCACAACCGAGTAGGCCTTTGGGAAATCACCCAGGACTTGAGCTCAAACTCCCTTCGCCGATTTCACATGGAGAAGCTTGTATTCGCTCGAATGCCATTGGTCTCCAGGGATGCTACTTTCTCCGCCGCCTTGCCAACAATCTTGGAGGACCACAAAGATCCTATGCACTGAACGCCATAGATCGGGCCATCAAACTTTGGAAAGGCAAACGAGTCCGTCGACCAGTACCTCTTCGAGCTCCATAGCTTTTGGCTCCAAACTGGCGACAGAGATTGAAGAACATTCTTACCTCACATGTGGCCCTGATGCAACCTCACAACATTTCACTCCAACCACCTTCAACAAATATTGTCTTCACGAAGTGCCCATCAGTCATGGACAGCCTCTGCAACCACAAGGAGATGGCTACCCGCTGGCAGACTCTGAAGCACCAGCTTCAACAAGTCAACCGTTTTTTGATTTTTCCATCAAGCGCCTCCCCTCCAAACCTCAGGTGGATTGTAAAGATTGAAGGTCCAAAGGCTGGCAGCTGCGAGTTCCTTTAGTTCTGCGTCTCTGCATGGTGGGGCCAAAAAAGGCCCCTTTATTCCCTTGTTTGATGGACAGCCCCATGCACACCAAATGGCAAGAGAAGTATCACCATTTTCCACTTCAAGATGAAACTCCAAAAAGGGGCAACACCACATTGCTGCTGTGAGCCACCGTGACAAGCATCCTGGCTCGGGTCGGCTGTTTCGCCGTGGGTCCTATGCTGAGGACGGTGAGCGTGACAACATGCACGACGCTTTGATGTCCATGATAGTGTGACCTATGCTGACAGCTGGGCGGATAGAATTCCTCTTTGATGCCGGTGTGGCATATTATTTGAAGACTCCAAATGGCCGACAATGATTCCTTTGATGAAGCATATGGAGCATACTTGGATGCAAGGCGGAGCTTCCAGGACTTGAAGTTGTCATGTGGATTTTAGTAGTGGCGGTGGCTGGCAGCTGCTCTGTGCACGTGGCAAGGGAGGTGGATAGGGACATGGGAAGGGCAAGTAAGAACATCGTCAAGTATCCGCGCGTCTTCATGGCAAAGCTGTTGAGGAAGAGTTGCCCCCGCGGCCAATTGCCCAAAGCAGGGAGCGCCCAGCGCCAGGTCTGCGCCCGAGTCCCAAGAAACAGCACCAAACTGAGAGCATGGCTTTGTCAACATCAAAATCAAGGCCATGTGATCTGTAAGGATGAAGCTGGATGATTATGTGTGGATTGCACTATGCTTGGACCTGAGTTCTTGACAGGCTCCAATACTTGCAGCATTTAGGCTTTCCTGTGGGCACCATCAAGATGCAGCGCTGTGGTGGTGACCATATTCAACCACCAGCCATTGGATTGAATTTGTCCAAGCTTTCATCATCAAGGGTGAGACTCCTATGTTGGCAGGCCGATCATTGAGGAGCTCCGGTTTGTGGGCGGCCAACCCTTCAAAGCGGCGAACTATGATGTTTGAAGGCCACCCATAGCATCCAATCATCGTGGGGCATCATGGTGAATGCTTGCCCTCCGCAATGGAAGCCTTCGACTGCGAGCCATCGGCCAACCACCTTTCTTTGAGTTGAACCTGCTGGAATCCCAGAGCTTGATGATGCCCCTTCAAAGGTCTTGGACTTTCAATCCCAGCAGAAGACAGTGCACCTACCTGACTGCTTACGAGCTAGGACTTGCTTTTGCAGTTGGTGATCGCAAGGTCATCTCAAATTGTTTCTCAGGAGTTCCACTGTGCTCAGCCACAACCTCGTGTGATGATGTGGGGGGGCCTATGCAAGTGCATGTCGAATGTCTGATGTGGCAGAATCCTTGGGCTGCCAAGGATCTCTATGAAAAGATGGCCCTTTGTTGCGCGCTTTACAGCAAGATCATGGCAATCAACGCCAAAACTCCGGAGAAACGTGCTGCCTTGCAATATCAGCGACAGCTTCACCATGATCTCCGCATGCAGTTTTTCACGGCCATTTGCTTGCAACAAGCTCGTGCTGGACGACGCGCCCATGTGGAACTACGCCAAGCTGCACTCAGTTGTCCTGCCTGCACTGAAGTCATTGCAGGCCGCCTTTGACCAATGCAGATAGTGTGAAGCTTGCTGTTTGGATCCTCAGACAATGCTTGAGGTTTTGCCCGCGAACCTACGAGCAAGCTGTGGTGCAAGCTATGTACCTGAGATGTGACAACGCTCACCGTCATTGCCAGCTTGAAAGCCACATCCGGTGTTGCGGGATCGAGCGCAAGCTTCTTAGAAGATTACCAACTTGGCTGGGCTGCTGCGCTTGCAAGTCCCAAACCTGCAGTTCATTGAGACAAAGCTTTGGCTGTCAACAAGGACAAGGTCATCCATAGCCAACTGATTTGCGGCTGATGACAGAGAGCATAGCAGACCGTGTGAGCAGTTCAAAGATAGCATCGCAACCTCAGCCACCCTATACCGCGACAGCTTTGATCGAAATGCTTGGGGTTAAAGGTGCGCCTGCAGCACTCTTGGATGTGGCACGAACTTCTCAGCACCATGCATGCCTTATGTGCCGGAAGCCCAGCCAAGTTACACCATTCCACGAAGGTGCTTTGCAAGTTTAACAAGCACCAGTTTCCCATCTTGTCGATCATTGATTTGGGCACCCGTTTCCAGGTGTCCATTCTGCTCACTGCTGAAGGTGTGCAGGAGTACATGGCTGCCTTGGAGCGACGCTGGATAGCCGTCTCCAGCAGTCACGTGGCACTTGGACGGATATTCCATTGACCATGCATGTATAATTGGCGCTGATCCTTGAAGATTTTCTCATGGACTGTGCGTCAAGCCTTGTCCGCTTTGTGGCTCCCGAGATCAACAGCACTCCGGCCCACCGACCACTTCTTGACACTCACCAGGAGAGTGGGTTCTTAGTCAGCCGCCACCCTCACAGTCTCACACGCGGTTTGAGAACGAGCTTTCCAACCAAGAGGGCCGTAGCGCAGAGTGCTCCACTGTGATAGATCAGAAGTTGAGACGTGTCCTGCTGGACATATTTGTATATAGCCAATCGTGCTTCATTTGGTGTGAGGTGCCAGGTCCAGCGAATTCCAGCGGCCCCATCAAGATCAGATGGAACGGTCCAGCCGCTGTGATCATGCGAGAGGACAGCCTTGACAGCAAGCCCTTGGTTTATTCGCTGGCCTACAAGTCCCAGTTGTTGCGCTGTGCACCTCACCATGCATCCTGAGATCGGGCGAGACTCTCCTACTATTCTTGGACATCTACAAGTCGCCAGGGACTTTTTTCAGAAGGTCAAGTCTCGAGGTGTCACGAGATTTTCTGACTTGACAGTGAAGAAAAAGTGCGATATCGATGATTTTGGCTCTGGCGATGACATCGTGGATAACTTCGATTGAAGAGCCAGCTGCTCAATTTGGAGATTTGGCATCAGTGATGCATGAGCTTGATGACCAGCCAACGATGTCCGCTGGATGCGGACTGGACCTTCGGAACCTGCATCAGCCCTTATTCCGGCGAAACGCTTATCTATCTGGACTTGTGCATCTGGCAGCTCCGGACTTCAACTTGTGAGCCTCGAAATGAACTCGTCATGAAGCGCGCCTAGTGGTATGTGGCTACACCTCGGCACTGCGTCGCCAGCTCCAACTCACTCGAGCGCTGAAATGCCACAGCCTTTGGACAAGGCCTGGCGCAGGCGCGCAGACTGTGGGTTCGAGCTCGCAGCTACTGCCAGAAGAGATGAGGAAAGCACCGCTGCACCCACCACGCTGCTGGCACGCAGAAAAAGGGATTTTTTAGAACCCACATGAAGGCTTCGAAACCTTGGTTGGACGACGTGCAATGGGTTGCTGTTTTTGGATCTCAATGTTATGCTGCCCCTGTGTTGGGTGGTCTCCCGAAACTCCACGTGGACAACATGGTGGGTGCCGGAGATCCCAAGTCGTCAATTTGTTTTTGTTGCTGAGGCTTCGCACAATATAGGTGTTTAGCTTTCGCGCATGGGGACAGATGGGTTGTCCGACTGCCCCGGTGCTAAGATGATACGGGATGTTGACGGCACTGGGCACATCACCCTCCAAGAATACCCCAGCCACTCTGCTTCAAGACCGGCAGCGACAGCAGCCCATGCCCAACAAGGAGCATACAGTCTCCAGGCCAGCGCTGCAGTCGTCGCTGCATCTTCAGGCATCTTGTTGAGTGTGTGTGTGTGTGCCCTTGCGCATCGCCAAAATAAGCAACTCAGATGTCTATCTTCGACCTCCTCGTCTTCCGCCAAGTAGGATGTGTAATTATTGTGCTCATCAACAAGTGAGTGCCTATGAAAGGCGTTGACGCTGTAGGCGTTCTTTCACTTTGCCACGTGCTGCGGGATCAACTTTAGTCTGCTGCTACAGCTGGTGATGGCACCGAGTTCGTTGGGCTTCGGCGCATGGTTTTTCAATCCTCGTTGGTCGCTGAAGGAGACCCTGGATGCGCAGAACTCCTCCGCTGCTCCAACTTTCATCAGTGTGCTTTTCATGTTTCTGATAGTGCTAGTCCCGATGCCGCCAACCATGGTGCCACCGACAATGGAGCTTTGTGTTGTGCAAGAGCAGGTCTAGGGGATGAGTGGACACTTGACATGCTGTTTGTTAAGGGCGTGATTTGGAGATGAGCTCACAAAGATTTATGCTTGACGGCTGCTTGCTGACAAGCTGAGACAGTGCTATCAAGTTTGCATTTGGCCCTGGCCACACCGTTTCTAAGAAGAAGACAGTTTTGCCCAGTGTGAGAGGAGCCGAAATGAGTTTGCAACCACCATCACAACTTTAGGTAACAGCAGCCGGCCAACTGCGGCAGCAGGAGAAGGACGCTTTTGAATTGCCGACGCCGATGTGGATGATGGCTCCCCATGTCAATGAGCGCATTCTGGAAGATGAACTTGTCTGCCGAGAACTTTTTCCCAGCGAATGCTCAGTTTCTGCCGAGACTTACCTTCTTGCCAAGAACTTTTAGCTCAAAGAATGCCAAGATGCCTGTGGAATCTTATGTGGAGGCGAGCCACGGTGGTGTGTTTTGGCTGTAGCGGCATTTATGCCCCCTGCTGCATCTGTAGATGACTTCTGGCCTGCTGAACGGTTGCGTCAAATCTTTGACCGATGAATGATTTCAAGACTTGCATAGAAGATTGAGGCGAAGATTTCGGTTGCACTGGATTCACGGGGTGGGCATAGCTGATGAGAATGCGACCTTGCAGTTCGAGGTCGGACAGTGTTCACGACAAATCGATGAAGCTTGTGCTGCCAAAGGCCTGCTAGATTGAGCATTGGATGAATCTGCTGAGTTCAGAGAGATGCATTCTTGCTTCACGACACCTATAGTAGGCGATGTTGGCACAGCACATGGTAACTGTGTGGTGCCTTGGCAAACTCCAGGCGAATGTGAGGCTGCACCAACCTCACCAAGATTTTGGCGTCACCTTTGTGAGGAAGAGCACAGAGACTTCCTCTGGTAGCGGAGGGGATGATGTCCACTCCATAATTTATTGAGAGCAAGGCATATTTAAGTGCCTACGGCAAGCCCGCCGGCCATAGCCATTTGGTGTAGAGGTGATTGTTCCATCTCGGTTCTTTGGTCAGTCTTGGTTATGCGTGACTGGCGGACATTGTTGGACGATGGACTCGTTGTAGACTTTTGGCGGTCTGATGGTAAGCGCACATGGATGCGTAGATGCTGACCTGCATTTTTATTAGCACCGAAGTGCCACGCAAGTGGAGTTTTCCGACACGTGTTGCGGGCATGTTTAAGCAGCGGCACGTTCTTTCCTGCTTTTGACCTGTTTCGAACTGCCAGGACACGTGTTGGGACTGACCTGTCGCCAGGTGAATGGCAGGTTTACACAGTGGCATGTTTGATCTATAGTGGAAGGGCATGTTAACGCGGCGGCATGTGTGAGCGCTACACGCGTGGCGTTTTCTGACATGTGCAGGAATTGACCCGTCACCGGGGGGACGGCATGTTTAAGCAGCGGCAAGAGCCTCAGCCTGGAAAGGGAAAAGGTGAATGCGCGCAATTAGGCGGGCACAGCATACGCGAGCAGCCGGGGTGTCGCTGCGGTCACGAGGGTAATGCTGAGGCGTCATGTGTTTCGAGACGGTGGTGGTTGAAGGAAGGGCTCAAGCAGAAAGGCACGCCAGGTAAAAACCACGGAGAGGCATGTAAGTGCCAGCAGGGAAGAGGCATCAGGCCGAAGAGGTATGAAGGTGAGAACAAGTCAACAAGGAAAGAATTTCAGTGACAAAGTACATGGGCAGGAGGGTGTGTAACACGTAGAGGAATCAGTACAAAACAAGAACAAGCAATTGGGGGAAGGGCTGACATAGTGCAGGACATAGGAACAAACCGGCGTGTGACATGGCGGCGGCGGTGGGGGAAGCAGAGTGGGACGTGGATGATTTTCTGCGGGCCGTGCGTGTGGAGGAGCATTCGCGACATCCAAAGCAGATCTTGCGAAAATGCATTCGACGGGAGAACGGCCAATAATAGGAGTGGGCCCGGAGTCAACTGGGAAGAGAAAGATTTAGATAGAGGCATTTACTTGCCACGGCATCACTGTCCCTTTGAAGGCTGTGAATGGTCTGGGGAGGATTCTGGAGACCAATTGAAGCACATCATGTCAGAGCATTGGACAGAGGACATGCAAGAGGCTGTGAGGCTGCTGGGGGTGGTGGAGAGAGGCAGAAGTGTACTCAGTGCTGAATGCGGGTATTTCGATGGTGTGTCAGGAGAAAGCGCCATTGGTGTCTATAGCACAGGACCGGAGAAGCTTGAGGCGTTACTATGAGGCACTGTATGACAAGGAGCTCCAGGGGCTGCGTGCATCCATCGGCCGGTATGGTGCAAGAGGGGACCGATATCCGGATCTGAACAAGAGCCCTTGGAGGGAAGAGCTGGCGCATGCGGGTGTGTAGGGTTAGGTTTGAAAACGGTCAGGAGGTAAGGTTGCTTTGCAATGCCGAGGATAGGAGATGCATGGAGGAGAAGCATAGTGAAGATTTTTGTGCAGAATGTTGTGTGCCAATGTGCTGTAGTTGCAAAAAGGCGCTGCGAAGCTAACCCCCAGTCATGCCTGTGCGGGCATTAGCGAACAACCTGTGGACGGGCTTCGCTGAGCCCATGCTGGCAGCGGAAAAGGTTACCTACTTGGAATGCATGTTGGCGTCGCCCTGTATGTTGAGTCTGATGCGTTTTTCGTTGGAAACGCAATATTGGAATGTATATTTGGAGAAAGCGCAGCAACAGACTTTCCGCGTGGGGGCCCGGGGTAATATCACATTGTTCCCATTGCCTTTGGAAGAGATTATGGCAGAGCTGCGGAAGCAGGCTGGAGAGGAGCAAAAGCTTCGGTGTGTAAAAGCTTCTGTGTGCAAAAGGTTCTGTGTGTAGAAGCGTCTGTGTGTAAAGCGTCTGTGTGTAAAAGCCTCTGTGTGTAAAAGGTTCTGTGTGTCAAAGCTTCTGTGTGTAAAAGCTTCGGTGTGTCAAAGCTTCCGTGTGTAAAACCGTCTGTGTGCAAAAGCTTCTGTGTGTAAAAGCTTCTGTGTGTTGAAGCGTTTGTGTGTAAAAGCGTCTGTGTGTAAAAGTCTGTGTGTAAAAGCTTCTGTGTGTAAAAGCTTGTGTGTGTGTAAAAGCGTCTGTGTGTAAAAGCGTCTGTGTGTAAAAGGTTCTGTGTGTAAAAGCGTCTGTGTGTAAAAGCGTCTGTGTGTAAAAGCTTCTGTGTGTCAAAGCTTCTGCGTGTAAACGCGTTTGTGTGTAAAAGCGTCTGTGTGTAAAAGCGTCTGTGTGTAAAAGGTTCTGTGTGTAAAAGCGTCTGTGTGTAAAAGCGTCTGTCCGTAAAAGCTTCTGTGTGTAAAAGGGTTTGTGTGTAAAAGGGTTTGTGTGTAAAAGCCTCTGTGTGGAAAAGCTTTTGTGTGTAAAAGTTTCTGTGTGTAAAAGCTTCTGTGTGTAAAAGCTTCTGTGTGTAAAAGCTTCTGTGTGTAAAAGCGTCTGTGTGTAAAAGGTTCTGTGTGTAAAAGCTTCTGTGTGTAAAAGCTTCTGTGTGTAAAAGCTTCTGTGTGTAAAAGCTTCTGCGGGTAAACGCGTTTGTGTGTAAACGCTTTTGTGTGTCAAAGGTTCTGTGTGTAAAAGCCTCTATGTGTGAAAGCTTCTGCGTGTAAAAGCTGTTGTGCGTGTAAAAGCTTTTGTGTGTAAAAGCTTCTGTGCGTAAAAGCATTTGCGTGGAAAAAACACCAAAAATCCGTCACCCTGCTGGGGGAGAACTTTTGGGACGGAAGCCGGGAAAGCCTCTGTGTGGAAAAGCTTTTGTGTGTAAAAAGCTTCTGTGTGTAAAAGCGTCTGTGTGTAAAAAACACCAAAATCCTTCACTCTGCTGGGGGAGAGCTTTTTGGACGGAGGCCGGGAAAGCCTCTGTGTGTAAAAGCTTCTGTGTGTAAAAGCTTCTGTGTGTCAAAGCGTCTGTGTTTCAACGCGTCTGTGTGTAAAAGCTTTGGTGTGTAAATGTGTCCGTGTGTAAAAGCTTCTGTGTGTCAAAGCTTCTGACGAGTCGAAGTCGGAGTACGCGTCGGAGTAGGCGTCGTCGTAGTAGTAGTCGTAGTAGTCGTAGTAGTAGTAGTAGTAGTAGTCGGGGTGGGGGGGGTGGACTCAATTCAGACGAGGCAAAGATGTGCGGAAAGAGAACAAAGGAACAAGTACAAGCCAAGAACAGAAACAAGTACAAAACAAGAACAAACAGAAGAACAACACCTCACAATCAGACACACCGGCAGGCCGGCGGATTTCCTTTCACGGCAGGAAGGTCATTTCACCTTCAATCCTGGTCATCCGACCATCGCCTTCCTGTCAGAGTGAGCGGGCACTTAGCGCTGCGCAAGGTGGAGAAAAATTGAGTGTCTTCACCGCAGGCTTGGGAACTTCGTTTGCCTCTTACGGACTTGGACCTGAAGCGCACCAAATCGCTTAAATGTAAATGTCAAATAACGTATTTCATGTAATATAATGTATGTGTGATACCTGAGCCCTCAGGCCATGCACTAGATCCTGCGGATGAAGGGCAATAAAAACTGCAGGATGCATGCTGCTGCGAGAAACAAAAGAGAGGGTTGGAGGACAATCGTAGAAAGTGTAATGCTGCAAAATTTGGAGGCCTAACCCAGATTTATTGAATGGTTGTCAAACTATGTGAGGAGTTTGCAAACTGACACTGCCGTGTCCTGCCCAGCAGAAGTTCATCTTGCAGACCAGCCACGATGCCGGCGCTGGAGAGCGCGCCTCAAACGTGGAAGAAACTATACATGTTCGGTTCTACCTGTTTGAGTATAGCAGCATGGAGACGTCTCCAAGACCAAAAAAAATTGATGGAATCAGGCCCATTTCATGATTTCCGAAGGGGCTGGTAACACGGGCGCAAAAAGAAGCCTCAGCGACCTGAGCTTCACCAGTAGCTGGTGTTTCACCCGAGCACAGAGAGACCAATTTATGGATAGTAGGAAAGCCGTGTGGCCAAACGCCCTGGCAAGTGTCTCATGAGACAAGACATGCAGTTGTTCAAACCAAATCTTTACATTCATAGCGCTTTGCTTCAGCTGTGATCGAAAACACAAAAAACGTGCAAGGTTTTGTCTCGTGAGTGCAGCCTTCCGGAGATGTTGGGGTGTGGCGGGATGCGGTTTCTCGCCTCGTCATGTGCCCTTCCCAGCTTCGTGTTTCCCTACTTTCTGGAGATATTGTGTTGGAGTGGTGTGGCGGCACGTACCTCCGGCTGATTTCCTCCATCCCGGTTCTGAGTTCCGAGACATTTCTGTACATTTTTGAATTCACTTGCACTTGACAGTTCCAATTCTAGGTTCCAAACAGTTGGATGCATCTCGAAATCTTGCCCCAATTCGGCGTCGGTAGTATCATGGCAAGGTCGCGACCCGACCGCATCTTGTGCTTGAAAGAAAGGGATCCATGCACACACACACATATATATATACACATAGGTATTTATTTATTTATTTTATTTATTTATTTTTATTTATTTATTTATTTATTTATATTTATATTTATATTTTTATTTTTATTTATTTATTCAGTTTTTTTCCTAGATATACATGTAAAAAATATATATGCGTACTTAGCCCTGTTTTTACCCAAATGTGTAGCGAACGGTTCTTGTTTAAGTTTGAGTGTCGTGGGGGTGGAGGCGTGTTTGCTCAAGGCTGCTTTGCCGTTCGCAACCGTCTTCAACCGTCCGCGAGCATTCGCAACCGTTCGCATTTAAGGCCCTATGGCCTATGGCCGTACTATTGGCGATTGTTGGAGAAGGTGTCACTTTTGGATGCTTGAAACGACGTGTAACGCATTTTTGTATGTCAGGTGCGGCACTTAGTGGCACGTGGATGTGTTTGATAAAGTGTCAAAGTCATTTTGTGCGACAGGTGCAATACTTTTTTCAACAATATTCTTAAGATGACCTTCCTGGCATGCACAGCGGTTTGGAGATGTCCATGTCCATTTTTCGTGGCAGGCGCAGCACTTTAGTGTTCCGTGGTAATCGCATTGGCTTTGCTGAGCTCAGTCGTGACAAAGTGCAAATTTCGTGGCAGGTGTGGTACATCATGGTACATCGTGAGAGTGTCATTCTTCGTCTCGTGGCAGGCGCAGCATGGTGAACTTCCATCGTGCGTGGAATGTCATTTTTCGCGGCAAGTGCAATATTTGGGACACTTTCGTGCAGTTGACGTGCCGCATTGGCACGACTGCCCGGGGAGCGATGTTGCCTTTGTCTTTCATGCCATTTTGCGTGCCAGGCGCAGTATCACTCTACACTCCATACTTTCCATTCCCATATTGCTCACGTCCAATTCCATTCCACATTCCACACTCCGCACTTCACACTCCACACTCCACAGACTTGACTTTACACCCCACAGACTTGACTTTAAACTCCACACTCTACACTCCACAACTCCCACTCTCCGCACTCTACACTCCTGACTTCCCACTTCCCACTTCACACTCTACACTACACTCTACGCTCTACACTCTACGCTCCACATTTCATACTCCGCACCCGCACTCTACACTCGACGCTCCACACTACACTCCACAACTCCGCATTCCTCATGTCTGACTCCACACTCTACACTCCACACTCCGCACCCTACACTCCACACTTAACAGACACCAGACTTTTCACACCGGACTTCACACACCAGACTTCACACTTTACACTCCACACACTACACTCCCAACTCAACCGTCTACACTCCATTGCTTGCACTCTCATGCGCGCTCTACACACCACACTCTACACTCTACACTCTACACTTCACGCTCCAAACTCTACACTCCGCACTCCACGCTACACTTCGCACTCCACACTTCACACTCTACACTGCACACTCCACATTATACACTCCACGCTCTGCGCACTCCACATTCCACACTGAACACACCACACTTCACACTATACACTCCACACTTTATACTCCAGACTCCGCACTTTACACTCCACAATCCCAACTCCACACTCTCCGCACTCTCCACTCTCCACACTCTATAATCCACTCCTTACAATCCACACTTTGCACTCTAGACTCCACACTTCACAGTCTACACTCCCCACTCAAAACTCTACACTCCACTGTTTATACTCTACGCTCCACACTTTGCACTCTCATCTCCCCCCATTTCCACACGCCACCGTCTACAATGGTACGGTAACGGAGCAAACATGTACAAAACTGTTGAAGTACATAATGTGTTTTGCAAACGAATTTTACGTGATGTGCATTCGGGTTCGTGAGTTGTATCAGGTTAAACGGAAACATGATATGCAAACCTAGATGTAAACGTAAATATCAAATACAGTAGTGATGTGACGCACTGCACGCATAAAATCGTTTCACGAATCCAATTTGGCAATCCAAACTGAATCAGACATGTTCTTCCTACATTTCCATGCGCAAGATCCCACAGATGAAGATATGAAGGGCGACAACAAACTGCAGGATGGATGCTGCTGTGAAAAGAAACAGCTACAGCATTTGCTCAGAGGAGAGTCTAGTGAGAGTATGCATGGGAAAATTATCATAGAAACTGCTGTTTGCGGCAACGACTAGATACCACATCTAGATGTGTTGAATCTGTTGAATTTCCAATTGAATGAATGTCAAAGCAATTGAGCAACTTGAGTACTGACCCGGAGGTTCATCCTGCAGACATCTGCAGACCAGCCACGAAGCCGGGGCTGGATAGAGTGGCTCAAGCGTGGAAGAAACCATATATCTAAATTGATACCTGTTGGAGTGTGGCAGTGTGGAGAATCTCCAAGACTCCAAGACCAAACAAATCTTAGCTTGGATGAATTCAGACCAGTTTCACGATTTCAGAAGGGACTGGTGACACGCAAAACGAGCCACAGTGATCCTGAGGTAAGTTGCAGCTTGTAAGTTGCTTCAGTAGATAGGATGGGATATAAGGCGTGAGACAAGACCCGCAGTTATTCAGGCCAAATCTTGAGATTTACAAAGCATTGCCTCAGCCGTGGTCAGAAAGTAAAAAAAAATGCACGGTCTTGTCTCGTGAGTGCGAGCTGATGGAGATGTTGGGGTGTGGATGAATGCGGCTTCGCGCCTCGTCATGTGCCCATTCCAACTTCCTCATTGTTCCGTGAGTAAAAAGCCTGCAGGCTCTTGTCTCGTGAATGCGAGCTTACGAAGATGTTGGGGTGTGGGTGGATGCGGCTTCACGCCTCGTCATGTTCCCATTCCAACTTCCTCATTGTTCTGTGGTAAAAGCCTGCCGGCTCTTGTCTCGTGAATGCGAGCTTATGGAGATGTTGGGGTTTGGATGGTCCTGTGCCTCTCCCAGCTTCCTCCATCCAGGTTTCAAGGCTTTATCCACTCTGAATTCACTTGCACGCGACAGTTCCAGTTCGAGGCTGACACGATAAAAAGCCAATCGCTGGGCATTTCTTGGGAACTCACTCTCGTCTCTCATCTCTCGTCTCTTCCTCGTCTCTTCCTCGTCTCTTCCTCGTCTCTTCCTCGTCTCTCCCTCTCTCTCTCTCGCGTCTCTCTCTCTCTCTCTCTCGCATCTCTCTATTAAAGGTGGGGTCGTCCTGCTTCCTGTTTATTCTTGTTTCATGTGACTTCTTGTCACCTGGTTGAGCTTGACCATGGGGACAGTATTTTTTGGAGGGTCCAAGTCGGAACGCTGGGTTCACAATTGATTTCCAGGAAAAGGTCAAGAAAGGCTGATGGAACCGCTGCTTCGTGAACCTGGTCTGAAGCCGGCATGAGGAAAACCAAGCCTTCAATCTATGATTGCACCACAAGCTCATATGACTCATTCAACACATTCAAAGGATGCAGGTATGTTGTGATGATAAGTAGTCAGCATCGCGTGAAAAGAAGTACTTGCAGCCCGACTTCATGGGTCTTACACCTGGGTGTTGATCTGGATTCAGCGACCAATACAGATTCGTAGATTTTTTTCCAGGTTTGGGAAAACCTGAGCTACAAGGATGATTTTGCTGGTGGTATCTTGATTCGATTGGCAATACCTGATGTGATGTTTTGATTGTCCAAGAATAGCACGGCGCAAAAGGAATGGGTGCAGATTTGCAGAAGGCTTGAACTTGAGAAATAATTTTGAATATAACATGCCACTTTGTGCCGTACTTTCATTGCCAAATCGACCGCCGCCATTCCTGTGCTGGTACACTCGGCCGGCAGGAATGGTAGGCAGAAGATCCCCACTAGCTAGCAGAAATCCCAGGGGGTATTCAAGAAGGTCAGGAAGGTTCTAACAGTGCCTGCAAGCATCAGTCCTCTTTTAGCAGGGTTCAGTGACAGATGTTTCAGATTGTTTCAGAGCGGCGAAAGCCACCTTCCAATCCAAATCAAAAGACCTGATGGTCGGGCTTTGTGTTCAGAGGAGCTTTGCGCCAAGAGGCCTCCAAAGTTTAAGATGTTTAAGGTTCAAGCCCTTTTGCATACTCTTGCTTTTGAATGATGCTTTTTCCTGCCAGGCCACTGCGCGATTCCTCTCAAGTACAAAATGATGCGTTCGCCAGTGGATGCCCACATGCTAAAGACAACACGTTGCCTTCCCTTTTCTGCAGCATATGTAAACATTTGCGCACTGAATTTATTCACTTTATGGCCATGTGCGGAGGAAGCAGCTCCAGGCGGATCAGTTGGGAACTGAAGGATTCTCGAAGTGCGGGGCACAGGAGGATCCGTTGTGAATTGGGAGAACAGAACTCATCTCTTATTCTTTGAACGCAAAAACACTAAAGTAAAATGCCTAGATTTGTTTTGCTACTTCTGTGGAAGGAAGGAACGAAGAAAGGAAGGAGGAAGGAAACTCTTGTGGTTTGTGTGGCTGGGCTTCTTGGCTTGAGAAGGCTTTTGTTGCTTCTTGGCTTTTGTAGTTTCCCTGCTTCTGAGATTTTTTGGCTTCTGCTCTTTTGGCTTCTTGGGCTTCCCGGCACTTGGTTCTTTGGCTTGCGTAGTGTCTCGTAGCATTGATGGCGTATGATTGCTGTTTGGCTTTTGTGGGGTAATTGTGAGAGATTCAAACTCCAAATGCTGCACATATCAAGCAGAATGCTCTCGAGGGTCCTTCAGAAGATGGACTGAAGTGGTATTGTGGGTAGGCCAGTGTAGATGACATGAAGCCGAACTGTGTATGACTTGATCTGGCAGGAACAAGTGCAACGCAACGACTTGCAAGAGGAGAACGCAGAGATAGCGCGCCACTTGAGTGAAGTCAAGCTGCATGCAAATCTCCGAAAGACCAGGTTTTCAGCCTTCGAAAGTAGTAATGCTGTTGTGCCCTGCCCGTTTGAAGCCCACCTGGGCTTTAAGTCGATCCCAATTCCCAGAGGGCACGCGGGAAGATCGTTTATGGCAGATGTTTCTGTTGTAGAGCCAAAAGCTCTTTTCCAGGATTTCTTTTTGCAGTTTGCTAGAGGAGATCATCATTGACATGATGCATTCAACGAGCGTGGGTTCTCCGATGGTGGGATGTAGAGGGCACATTGGATGGTGGTGCCCAAGGTGGCTGAAGCTTCTGAAACAGTTGAGGATGAGGCTGAGCGAGCGCGAAGGTGCTTGCTTGCTGAAGGTATTTGCGTGATATCTACTACAACGATCTATAACGATTGTATCGAACCATTCTGTAGCCATGAGGCCATGAGGTGAATCACGCACAGACTTTGCAGGATCCATAAATTCTTAACGAACTTTTGACCCTTCGATAGAGGCTATCAAGCTATATCAAGCTGACCAAATTGGAGTCTCACTGATCAGTGATCCCTTTGTGGCGCTTGTGCCTATGGTCATTGCTGTCCAGAGTCTCCAGCAGCTTCCAATACACTTTGCGAGGAAGAAGGAGAAAAAGGAGAAGAAGAAGGACACGGCCGGGGAAGATGAAAGTTCAGCCGGATATTGTGGTTTCCAGTTGCAAGATTTGCAAGCACTGAAGCTGAGCAAGAAGTTTCCCGATTTGTCTGGTTGGATTTGAGTGGTGGGCAACTGACTTTTATTGAGTTGTGGATTTCATTGGATTATCTGATCTGTGCAAGTGTTCCGTTTCGCCTCATCCTTGAGCTCCGACAACTTGAGTTGTGACAAGGTAAGACCAGACTGATGACTGACTAATAGTAGCTTCACAAAGTATCAGGTTTGCATGGGCCATCCTGCAGCTCTTGTCTCATGATGCATAAACTTTTTGGTTCAGTGGAATGTAGTGATTTAGGGAAAGGTAGTGATTTAGTGGTTTTCAGTGTGCAATTCTGAAGAGATCGCGGAAACACAAGACGCACGTGCCGTGGCTGCTTTTAGTGCCCTTTTGTTGGCGGTTTCGACTGCGTCCGTGTCCCTTGGAGGGGCAGTCCAGAGAGAACAAAAAAAGTTGAACAGTAATCCCTCTTTTGCCAAAAGGAGTTCATTCTCTGGACATATGCAAAGGAAGGTGGAGAATATCCCAACAAATTAACAAGTCCACAATTGACACGGTTCAGTCTTGGCATGAAGAAAATGCATCATGTGCATCTTCCAAACACTTACTTGTGTTCCAGGGGCATCTTTATTGTGTTTATTTTTTACATTTGTGTTTAGTGGTGTTTACTTGGGCCAATCGCAAATGCCGTACATGCCACAGCCCTCGCGGGTGTCAGGTGACCTTGGTAGCTTCATGTCCGGATCGAGCCCTAGAGTAGGAAACGGAAGCGAATCATCGTCATCAAGATCAGCCTGTTCGACTTTGACAGGAGCAGGGTGTGGGAAAAGAAATTCCATGAATTCAAGCAACCAGCATGTGACGTGGGCTAGGCTTTCTTGTCCTCGTCTTTCAGTGCTTCAAACTTTAGACCTTAAGGTTTCTTAGAGGTTGGCTTTTGTCCAAGAGTTTCTTTTCCTATGCGATGATGCTTCACTTGCGGGTGGGTTGGCTTGCCTTGCCAAAACAACTTGCTTGACCTGTCATCATCATCATTATCATCATCAACATCATCATCATCATCATCATCATCATCATCACCATCACCATCGTCATCGTCATCGTCATCGTCATCGTCATCGTCATCATCATCATCATCATCATCATCATCAGCATCAGCATCAGCATCAGCATCAGCATCAGCATCACCATCATCATCATCACCATCACCATCACCATCACCATCACCATCACCACCACCACCACCATCATCATCATCATCATCGTCATCATCATCATCATCATAGTCATAGTCATCGTCATCGCCATCTTCATCATCATCATCATCGTCATCATCATCATCATCATAGTCATAGTCATCGTCATCGCCATCTTCATCCTCATCGTCATCGCCATCGCCATCTTCATCGTCATCATCGTCATCATCGTCATCATCGTCATCATCGTCATCATCGTCATCATCGTCATCATCGTCATCATCGTCATCGTCGTCCTCCTCCTCATCGTCATCGTTCAAATCCAGCTGAACTCTCTCTCTCTCTCTTTCTCTGACTCGGCGGCTTCAACCCATACGCTATTCTTTTCACTGTAGCTGCTCAAGGTGTAGCTCAGAGAGTGCACGGGTACTGTATAGAGCAAACTGTCACGCACCATGGTATGTACGCAGGAGGGTAGCAGGGTAGTGGTGTAACGGGGTAATGGGGTAGTGGGGTAGCGGGGTAGCGGGATAGTGGGGTAGTGGGGTAGTGGGGGGGGGTAGTGGGGTAGTAGTGGGGTAGTAGTGGGTGAGTAGTCGGGTAGTAGTGGGGTAGTAGTGGGGTAGTAGTGGGGTAGTAGTCCGGTAGTAGTAGTAGTAGTAGTAGTAGTCGTCGTCGTCGTAGTAGCAGTAGCAGTAGCAGTAGCAGCAGCAGCAGTAGGAGTAGGAGGAGTAGGGGTAGGAGCAGCAGTAGGAGTAGGAGTAGGAGTAGGGGTAGGAGCAGGAGCAGCAGTAGCAGTAGATCAGTAGGTTGTAGTAGGTCGTAGTAGGTAATAGTGGTAGTAGTGGTAGCAGTGGTAGTAGTGGTAGTAGTCGTAGTAGTGGTTGTAGTGGTAGTAGTGGTAGTAGTGGTAGTAGTGGTAGTAGTGGCAGTAGTGGTAGTAGTGGTAGTAGTGGTAGTAGTGGTAGTAGTGGAAGTAGTGGTAGTACTACTACTATTACCATTACTACTACTACTACTACTAATACAACAACAACAACAACTACTACTACTACTCCTACTACTACTACTACTACTACCACCACCACTACTACTACCGCTACTACCGCTACTACCACGACTACCACTGATACCGCTACCACTATTACTGTTACTACTACCACTATTACTGTTACTACTACTACTACTATTACTACTAATACTACTACTACTACTACGACGACGACTACTACTACTATTACTACTACTACTACTACTACTTTTACTACTACTATTACTACTACGATCAACTCCTAAAGTAGTTTAGTAGTAAGAGTAGTAGTCGTCATTTTTGTGGCAGCAGTAGTAGTAGTTTTAGTAGTAGTAGCAGTAGTAGCAGTAGTAGTAGTAGTAGTAGCAGTAGCAGCAGTAGTGGTAGTTGTCCTCGTCGTCGTCGTCGCAGTAGTCGTCGTCGTAGTGTTAGTAGTCGTGGTAGTCGTAGTCGTAGTCATAGTCGTAGTCGCAGTCGCAGTCTTAGTCCTAGTCGTAGTCGTATAGTCGTAGTCGTAATCGTAGTGGTAGTCGTAGTCGTAGTGGTAGTGGTAGTCGTAGTGGTA